ATCATTATTTTAATCAACTTAATCTTAATAGCAATATATACGGTTAGCCTGATAAGATATTGGACAAATTGCAGTTAGAAGGGTGTCTAACAGCTAGTACTAAATTCTGCGCCGGCTAGCTGTTTCTAACCAGCAGAACAAACTCAAACACCTTACCTTTGACCAGATTTGTCAAAATGGCATCACACCATTTATACTTCAAATTCGCTTAAAGTATTTCAGGCCTTTAGTGACTTAACAGCGAGCTGTTAAGGTGATGAACAGCAAAAGGCTGGTATGAATGCACAGTGTTACCCAGAATATCAACTCGTACTTTAACAGCTGTTAGCTCCAAAACAAACGGTCTATAAACCACCCACATTGACGGATAACCTATTTGCTATGTGGGACACCTGCTAGCAATAGGACCAATCCTGAGTTATTCAACACAATGACTAATTTAGCAGATTTGTTTTCGATTGCACCCTCAAGAAACAAAAGACACACTGTATGAAAGAGCCTGAAGAGAACGCAGTCCTGTTGTTCTGCTATAGGGTGGGATAGCTGGCTTGTCAAGTGCAGCACTGCCAGATACTAAAGCACCACTAATCAACCCACTAACCGGTTTCCACTGATTTCCATCATGTGCATTCGCAAAACAAGGTTGGAGAGGGTGCTTGTGACCCTGCTTGTCAGCTGTTAAACTTTAGCAGGCTGATCAAGTCATCTCACTGCTGAGTTATGCTGGCTGTTTACTGAATAGGTGCGCAAATGTTGATGTCCCAAAAATCACATACAGCCTAGGGGTGTGCGATAATGACAAAAAATGATATCTCGATATCTTCTAGAATTTTGTCGATAACGATAATTAGAAGATATTTTGCTGAACGTGTTATTGTGCTGGTATCTTGGCAGCTTTAGACAAAGCGTTTGATATTCCTCATATTCTGTGCCATGGTTAGTTTGTAGCAGTAACTTTTCCAATAAGTTTAAATTGATTTTTACATTTTATGGGCATTTTTACCTCGCCAGATACTAAAGCACCACTAATCAACCCACTAACCGGTTTCCACTGATTTCCATCATGTGCATTCGCAAAACAAGGTTGGAGAGGGTGCTTGTGACCCTGCTTGTCAGCTGTTAAACTTTAGCAGGCTGATCAAGTCATCTCACTGCTGAGTTATGCTGGCTGTTTACTGAATAGGTGCGCAAATGTTGATGTCCCAAAAATCACATACACAAATAGGGGTGTGCGATAATGACAAAAAATGATATCTCGATATCTTCTAGAATTTTGTCGATAACGATAATTAGAAGATATTTTGCTGAACGTGTTATTGTGCTGGTATCTTGGCAGCTTTAGACAAAGCGTTTGATATTCCTCATATTCTGTGCCATGGTTAGTTTGTAGCAGTAACTTTTCCAATAAGTTTAAATTGATTTTTACATTTTATGGGCATTTTTACCTCTATAAGGACAACAGTTTTTCTAACTTTTTTAAATGTATGCATCAACGTTTGTCTCAAATTCTTCTTATCAATAAATTCAGTTCAAATAGTAAGACATTACAGAACTGTTACCAATCAAATGAAATCAGTATCAACAAAATTTGTGTTTGCAATGCAGAGGTGACAGAATCTGCATCTGAAGTTTTATTGCACCTATTTTTGAAAATAGGCTCATTTTCCAACTCCCCTAGAGTTAAACAGTTGAGTTTTACCGTTTTCTAATCCATTCAGCCGATCTCCGGGTCTGGCGGTAGCACTTTTAGCTGCAGCTTAGCAAAGATCATTGAATCTGATTAGACTGTTAGCATCTTGCTCAAAAATGACCAAAGAGTTTCTATATTTTTCCTATTTAAAACTTGACTCTTCTGTAGTTACATCGTGTACTAAGACCGACGGAAAGTGAAAAGTTGCGATTTTCTAGGCCAATATGGCTAGGAACTATGCTCTCATTCCGGTGTAATAATCAAGGAACTTTGCTGCCGTACCATGGGTGCAGCAGGCGCAATGATATTACACAGCGCCTGAAAATAGGCTAACTTCTAGGCTTGTCACGATACTCGGTGCTGACGGTTACGTCACTTGCCCACCGCATCACCCCACCTTCGTTTTGATTTTTTTATAGTAATAAAAATCATTTAGTTCGGTAAAAGAACAGACACTACAATTAAAAACTGAACGCAGTTGCTCAATGCAGTTGAACAACAGTTGCATCACAGATCAGATTTAATATCTCCAGTGAGGAGAGTGAGTCGAGCTGACTGACATGAAGAGTGAGGTGAGACAGACAAGACGATCGCGGATGATTTAGTTTCGAAACGAAATGCAAAAGCGCCTGTTTGTCAATATTTTGGATTTTGAAAAGCCTGTTGACTAGATAGCATGGTGCATTTTTATTTGTTTTGTTAAAGAAAGTTCTATGTTTTATATATAGGCTAAAGTGAGTTTGACGTTGTATTTTGTTGTTGCATTCAAGCAATTGACGCCTAACTGCCGCTAATTCGCAAGTGAAAGTAAAAGGCGCACAGCGCTTTTAAGCTATTTAAAAGCGAAGTAAAGCAAGGAAAAGAGGGAAAATTCAATCGAATTAAAAACGAACAATTGATTTACTCTGAATTGCCACTATTTGAAAGTGAAAGTAAAACATGCACGCCGCTTTTACAAACTATTTAAAAGCGAAGGAAAGTGAGGAAAAGAGGGAACGCCCCCGCGGTGATACCGGTGTTGTCACATGTCGATTAACCGGTGGGAAAATGTCCTCACCGTCACAAATATCAGAAATTACCTGTTGTTCTGCCCAGACGAGGAGAAGCACTTTATTTTCACTATCTGTCCAATTTGACAACATTTTTCTTCCGGTTCACAGCCATTGTAAACAGTGCAGGGTAATCATATTATCACCCATGGAACATGTTTGAATGGTCCAGAGCAGACATCCGACATCTGCATATCCACGCCTCGCACGCCCTTATAATGGTAATCTTATGTGTCAGTAATTTTCAGGTGATGTTTTCTCAGCCTGATTTACTAGCATTTTCAAACAGGTCCTGTTCACAAATGATCACTAAACTGTAAATAAGAGATAATTTTCCTGAAAAGGGCATATATGTGAAAGCTTAAAGGGGTCATATGATGCGATTTCAAGTTTTCCTTTCTCTTTGGAGAGCTACAAGCTGATTGCCAGGGCTTGTCACAGAAAAATGATAACAGGCCTGTAGCCACAACGACATTTTTTGCTGCTGACTGACCCCTAGCACTTCCTCATTTACACAAATACCAACAGCGTCCCATCTCTCATTCTGTGCAGACAAGAAGTGTCATTCTCAAGCAAACTCCGTTTGATGAGAGACAGAGGCGTGTTTATCTGCAGCTCGGCCGGAGGAAACCATCTGCATTCCCCTCATTCCTCTTTAGGTCGTAACTCGCTTGGCCGTTTAGGCGGGGACAGAGACTCCCGCAAAAATTCAAAAGCAGGCCCGCCTCATTTCACAATCACTCATGAGCTGCAAGAATTACAGTCTACAAATTAAACCAGTGATGACCTATGTGAAATAATAATGGAATGACAGAGAATAACAACTAACAACATAATAATGAGCTCATTTCTCTGTATGAACAAAAAGACCATGCCATTTTACTACAGCAGCTACACAATGACTGCTTCCCTGTCAGTCAAAAGATAGCACCCAGATAGCACACTTACATCTGTTAAACATGGCTTCATCTGGAAAGCATCTGCTGTGTACAAACATCTGACAGACGTCTGTAAGATCAGTTTTACATACATTCTAAACCATAAACATCTTAAAGACATCTAATAGACGTCTAACTGACACCTGATAGAAAACGTCCTATTGCAGATGAACAAACTCTAAAAAAGCGTCTTCAAGATGCAGACATCAAATAGACATCTCAGTGATGTACGTGTGCTATCGGGGCAGCATTTTGCAGACAACGGGTCACAGACTTCCAAAGGACCCTGAAGTCACATCTAAGAAATTAGTCAAACAAAAAAATATATATGCACCCCTGGACCACAAAAGCAGTCATAAGGGTCCATTTTTCATCTGAAAGCTGAATGAATAAGCTTTCCACTGATGTATGGTTTGTTAAGAGAGGACAATATTTGGCCCGAGATGCAACTATTTGAAAATCTGGAATTTAAGGGTGCAAAGATTTTTTTTTTTTATTCTAAATATTGAGAAAATCACCAAATGAAGTTCTTAGCAGTGCATATTACTAATCAAAAATGAAGTTTTGTTATGTTTATGGCAGGAAATTTACAAACTATCTTCATGGAGCATGATCGTAATATCCTAATGATTTTTGGCATAAAAGAAAAATGGATACAACTGTTGGCTATTGCTACAAATATACCCGTGCTACTTATGACTGCTTTTGTGGTCCTGAGTTAATATATTATATATATATATATTAGTGCTGTCAAACGATTAATCGCATCCAAAATAAAAGTTTTTTGTTTACATTATACATATATAAATAAATAAATACATACACATACAGTATATATTTTGAAAATATTTACATTTATAAATTCATATTCTTATATATAAATATAATTTTTTTCTTAAATATATACATGCATGTGTTTATATACATGAAAATGTATATAATGAAAATACATATACAACAAAAACTTTTATTTTGGATGCGATTAATCGTTTGACAGCACTAAAATACACATATATAGCACTCAAAGGCTTACTATCAGAAACTGAATCAATTTTATGGATTAATGACTGATCCATCTGCTCCATCAGAAAACTTATTTTTTCTTCCCAACAGCCGCCGCACGCACAGAATTGTGGGACATCAAAGGAAAGTGACACATTTGTGAAAAATGCGACCGGAGGAAGGTATGTGTGTTTTCCAGCTTTCTGGCTCATCCAGCAACACAATCAGTATTTCACCACATCTCAGCACGACTTCTCCGTGTCCTCGACATAACGCCAGCCGCGGCACTGATGATCGCGCCGCGTCGGTGTCGCGTTATACCTCTCGCAGCTGCTCCAGCTCCCGGCGGACGGTCTCGTGCTCCGCCTCCAGCTCGTCGTACCGCTGCTTCAGCCGCTGCTTCTCGTCCAGCACCGCGAGCCCGTACTCCGCCGCCTGGATCTTCTCCCGCGTGGTCTCCGCCAGCTCCCGGGACAGCCGCTGCACCTCCGCCCGCGTCGCGTCGCGCTGCTGCTCCGCGCTCATCTTTGTAACGGCGGACGCGTTCAGATTCAGCTGTCCGCGCACCGCATGACCCCGCTGTCGCCCGCCGTCGCTGATAGACTCCCGCCGGGGTGTGATTTCTGTGCAGGGCTAGAGGAGCTTGTGCTGTACCTCTCCTAAAGCTGCTCCATGACGGATCCGGCTCCGCTCCGCTCCTCAATAACGTGCAGCGGAGGAGCAGCCAGGAGAGGCTTTCCTTGGAATCAGGAGAGGCTTTTGTGGGAGATGTAGTTTAAGCCAACGCCTTTTGTGATCTCACGATTGGGTCAAAAACTCGTATCCCGTGATTCACTGCGGTCAGACGGTGTGGATACCGGAAGCTCGTGTGACGTGGAGGTCTCCGTTGAGTTCAGTGCACATCTCGATTTATCATTTTTATTATTATTGCGGTTATTAAACTGCGCAGGGTTGTGCAACAATAGCTCAAATGATGTGGCTTATTCAGGTAAAGTGAACAAATAAAAACAACACAGTCAGACGTTCTTTTATAACCATATAATTATAACTCCAGGCCCTTCCTCCTCAAACGCGACGCGAAAAACGAGTCGTCGAAACGAATAAAGGGTGTCGCCGCGTCGGGTCTTGTAGGAATAGCTCCATGAAGCTCCGAGGCTTTTCCTGCTTGAGTAAGAAGTCCTTAAGCCTTAAAAGTATGGACAGTCGCGCCATCTGCTGGCTCGTAAAATGTATAGCAGCCTTGAAGTCTGGAAATATAATGCATATTTTGAAATAACGAAGAAAAAAAAGTTCTTAAAGGGGGCATGAACTGCCTTTGTTTTTTGTTTTATTTTGTACTGTTCTCTGAGGTCCACTTACAATGTTATCAAGATTTTTACTTCAAGAAACAATTGATAAGTTACAGGCTATTTTCTGTCCTGTTTTGCTGTTTTTAGACTAACGACAAAGTTTTGAGTTCTGAAACTTACAGGATGACTTATAGTAATAGAAACTTATAGTAATGACCTCTTATATGTCAAAAGATCAAAGGAATTCTGGTTTCTCAGTTCATGACCGCTTTAAATGATGTTCGGTGTGTGAGTGAATCGATCAAGTTAGCAGCACTCGTTGAACTAAGAACCACATCTTACAGACATGAATACAACCATGTGAATATCTTATACTTACTGGACATATTACATGTCAAAATATATTAAATTTAAAATGCTATAACATGAGTAATGACATAATGCTTTTTAATTAAAACAATGTAATTGTGGAATTTGTATACTTAATTAAACTGGTCTGACGTCTTTCTAGATTTAGAGGTTCTTAAACCAAATTTTACTAAGCTAGAAAACTAGAAAATATCCATACTGCACTGAGGATTGTGCCGAATTAAATCCCACGTCTGCAGCTGAATCATCCATCCATCCATTAACCGCTTGTCCAATATGGGTACAGCGTTATATCATACAGGTATAAATTTCTTTTTAATTGAACATTAAGAAGTTTAATTAAGGATTATACATGCTCTGATGTTTGTACATCAAGATCATGGTGGCCCTTATTGAGGGGTAAAATTTTTTTTATTGTAAATGTTAACCTCACCCCATCATTTGTTTCTCCATTAGAAGTATGTAATGTATGCAAAATACCATCCAGATAATTTGTCATTTCGGGCAGTGGTTCTCAAAGTGTGGTACTCAGGCTCCCTCTACTGGTACGCAGAGGAATCACTAAATTAAATATAAATTAAGGTTAAAACACAATACATTTTAATTTAATCTTTATTCGAGTAAGTACAGTGCAATTTTTATTTAACTTTTAGGTACAACACTTTTTAATTTAATCATTAAGTTTTTTATTTACCTGTTTGTAAGCACAGTGCAGTGTTAATGTTCAAGCTTTGTTTTTACAATGTTAAAGTGGCTGACAAATATTCTTATTAGTGTCAATCCTGTATTCCGTGTTTTCTTCCCCCACGTGCTTTCCATTACCCAGTTTTCCCTCATGTTCAATTACGTTTATTGATTCCAGGTGTTCCCTGAATAGTTTCCTTGATTAGTCCCATGATTTAAGCCCTGCGTATTTAAAGTGTTTTCCTGTTTTGAGTTCTCTGTGCTGTCTTGAACGTCGATCCCGTGTTCTATGTGTGTTTCCCTAGATGTCATTAAAGACTGTTGATTATGATTCTCCTGCGTTCTCCTCGTTCCTTGCTCCTCACCATAGGCACACAGTGACAGAAGACAGCACCTAAACAGTAAGCGGCACCCCTATTCTGACCTCCCAGACACCACGGGACTAAGCTGGAGGGAAGGGATCCTCTGGTGTCTGGAGAGTGTCCGGCCCGGAGCCAGAACCAGCCCGCCAGCCGTTCCTCAGTCAAGCTCGCCGGTCGTGGCGCTCTCCAGCCTGCCGGCCGTTCCTCAGTCCAGCCCGCTGGCTGCACCGATGTCAAGTCCGCCAGCCGCGCCGTTTACCCTTAACCAAAGGAGGAGGATGAGGAGGAAAAGACTGTTCTCAGCCCTAATCCTAGCCACTGAGTCAGCTCCAGTGTCGGCTCCAGCCCCAGAGCTCGCTCCAGTGTCGGCTCCAGCCCGAGAGCTCGCTCCAGAGAGGGCTCCAGTCCCCGAGTTTAGACCAGAGAGGGCCCCAGTCCTGGAGTTTAGCCCAGAGAGAGCTCCAGTCCCCGAGTTTAGCCCAGTGAGGGTTCCAGTCCCTGAGATTAGCTCAGAGAGGGTTCCAGTTCCCAAGTCAAGCCCAGGGAGGGCCACAGTTTCCGAGTTAAGCCTACGGAGGGCCTCTGAAACCGACATTCTCCCCAAGTAGGGGTCTATCCGTGGAGGCCGGGCTGAGTGCCGAGGCCAGGCTCCCCGAGCTCCCTGTTCCGCCATGGCCCCCTGAGTTCCCTGCTCCGCCATGGCTTCCCAGTCTGCCTGATCCGCCATTGCGCCCCGAACTGCCTGATCTGCCATTGGGTCCTGGAACGGGTACCCCTCTGGAGGCCTGTCGTCCCATGTCTGTCCTGAGGGGCCTCCAGAGTGCCCACCGGGGGGTGTCCCCCATTATATCCACCCTTTTGGATATTGTGGGGCACGTGGACGTGCCTTCCGAGAGGGGGGAGTAATGTCAGTCCTGTGTTCTGTGTTTTCCTCCCCCACGTGCTTTCCATGATCCAGTTTTCCCTCATGTTCATTATGTTTATTGATTCCAGGTGTTCCCTCATTAGTTTCCTTGATTAGTCCCATGATTTAAGCCCTGTGTATTTAAAGTGTTTTCCTGTTTTGAGTTCTCTGTGATGTCTTGAACGTCGATCCCGTGTTCTACGTGTGTTTCCCTAGATGTCATTAGAGACTGTTGGCAATTAGGAATAAAACTGCCTCGTTTTTTAATTGTGCAGAGCTATAGCTGAACAGTTAGGCCTACTACTCTACCATTATGGTGGTACTTGGAGAGCCAACTATTTTCTGAGGTGGTACTTAGTATAAAAAGTTTGAGAACCACTGATTTAGGGTATGTTCAAAGAATGTATCATCTTATCAACAGGTACTTCAAGATCTGATTGGTAATAATAGCGAAGGTTTTGTTCACTGATTAACTTTTGACTATTTCTAATATCAGATAAATCTCTAACCATTAGGCCACAACTGCTGCTTTGTTTCTCCACTAGAAGTAGGGGCAGCTGTGGCCTAATGGTTAGAGAGTAATTTGAAGGTTGTGGGTTCGAGTCTGAGAACCTGCAGATATTGTAGGTGAGGTGAATGTACAGCGCCCTCTTCCACCTTCAGTAACCATGACTGAGGTGCCCTTGAGCAAAGCACCAACCCCACAGTTGCTCCCTGGAGCAAATGCCCACTGTTCCAGGTGTGTGTTCACTACTCACTGCTGTATGTCTGCACTTGGATGGGTTAAATGCAGAGCACAAATTCTGAGTATGGGTTATCACACTTGGCAGTATGTCACAACAGTGGCAGAGCACTCGCAACTTCTTTGTTATTCTTGATCTCCATCAGGGGGCTGTTTCAATAAGGAGGTTTAACCAACTTTTAATTAAAACTTGAACTCTTGAGTTGACTTACCCTGAGATGGGAAACCCTGAGTTTTCAGAATAGCTGAATTGAGTTTGTTCAATCCACTCCGAGTAGGGTGACTCGGAGTTTTGCGCGTGCACCATGACTAAGAAGTTATGATCAATGGATCTCCGGAATACTGATTCACAATGGCAACAGCACCCAACTAAAAGACATCCACATACCTCGAGTCAACGCGTAACTTTATTTCTTAATCACTGCTATAATATCAGAGGGGAAAGCGTCACGGTTACGTTTGTAACCCCCGTTCTCTGAAGGAGGGAACGGAGACATCACGTCGGAACGTACCGACGAATTGGGATCTCACCTGAGATCGAACAAGTTCCATTGTTTGAGTCACTTATCAAAAGTTGCTAAAAGTCCCCAAATAAATGTTTAAAAATAGCTACATTTGTTGCTAGGTGCTTTTGGAAGAAAAAGTTGCAAGGGTTGTCAACAATTTTGTTGCTAAATTTATCAACTTTTCAAAGTTGGCAACACTGTAAATGTATGTTTGTTTTCTATTGAATGTGTTGTATGTCTTTTTTTATCTTTATGCTTGATGTATTTGTTTTATTGGATGTAATGTTGTTACTTATTTAACTGTGTATTCTTGATTATGTAAAGCACTTTGAGTTGCATTTTATGCTTGAAAGGTGCTATATAAATAAAGTTTTATTATTATTATAAATGGAGAAGCAGGTGCAACGCACATTCAGGTTTTCGCTGAGAAGCCGAGCCAGTGACCCGGCAGGCTGCAGTGGTACAGTCAACAACAGCAGGGAAGGTGCAGTAAGCGAGACACCGAGCAGTCTCTGTGTTTACTGGCTACTCGTGGCGAGTACACGAGAGGACACCGGTCTCTACATGAAGGCTATAAAACCTAGCAAACGTGTTTGGTGTTGCCCAGCCCGCAGCTCTAGATATACAGTATCTGTCAGCGAGGCAGCATGTGCCAATGAACAAGAAAAAGCAACGCCTGAATTCCAGGCACGATTCGTTGACCGAAAATGCATGCAGGTCCCCTAACCTCTTGCAATGGCTCAAAAGGGGCTCTCTGCAATGCCGTAAGCACCAGAGGGAGATCCCAAGAGGGTACGGGGTTAGGGCGAGGAGGATTGTCTCCTCGCGCTCCTCAGGAACCAGATCAGGTCGTGCTTTCCCAAAGACTCACCATCTACAAGATTGGGATGTGCGGCAATCGCGGCAACATACACTTTTAGTGTGGAAGGAGACAGCCTTCGCTCCAACCCCTCCTGGAGGAAGGAAAGCACAGCTCTGATCGGGCATGTCCAGGGTTCTTTCCGGTGAGAAGAGCACCATTCAATGAACAGGTTCCACTTCAAGATATAGGCACACCTTGTAGAGGGTGCTCTTGCCGAAGTGATGGTGTCTACCACCACCTAGGGTAGACCACCTAGGACCTCTGCGTCCCGTCTAGGAACCACATGTGGAGGTTCCACAGATCTGGACGCGGGTACCAGTGGTATAATAATAGTTTATAGATTATTTTCCTTACCACATGGCGGATAATTTTTACATTAAAATGCACTTGTTACTCCCGGGAAACAAGACTAAATATCTTATATAATTTTTCACATATAGAAAATGCATCTTGACTTAAGAATTTTTAGATATTTGTTCTTGAAATATGACAAAAATACTCAGTAATAAAGGCATTTTTGCAGCGTGAATGAGTGAGGTATTTAAACATCGCTTATGCTTTAAAAAGGGGGATGAGACCAAAAGAAACTCTGGGTTTACTGAAGAAAACCTGCTCCCAACCAGGTTAGGTTCACAGAGTTACGTTACCATGGTAACTGACTCTAAGTTACCTCTCTTTCAGAAATGGGCTTGACTTACCCTGCTGTCTCTGATTTGAAAAAACCTCCCATTCTGAAACGGAAAACCCAAAGTTTCCTTCATTTCAGGGTTAACATACTCAAGAGTTTTCACTTAACCTCCTTTCTGAAATGGGCCCCTGGACTTCCTAAATAAAGATCCTGGTGTTGGCGCCAATGGCCTCGCAGTTAATTTCTTTCTCGAGGTCACTTCATTCTGCTCTCCTCTCTCCACCCAATGCTTTCCTGTCGTCGCTCTACTGTCCTATCCAAATAAAAAAAGGCATAAAATGCCTTTATTCAGTGTCCGAATTCGTTCACTCAGTGCTTCAATTGGACTGTTTGTGGACTAAGGTAGGGAATAGTGTGTTATTTAGAAGGCGGGACTATTCCGCCATATTGCGTGTTGTACTTTCTCCCATTCAAGTAATATGTGTGAACTGCCTTTGTATATCTAAAGTCCTTTATTGTAATCATCCATCTGTCAAAATATAATGTCCAGTTGTTCAGCAAAAAACAAAAAACTACTGAAATGACCAATGCTGGTATTTGTACAGTCACAGAAACATTTACAAGCTGTATTTCTTCTCAGTTTGAATCTAAAATGACAGTGGCTGAATGTGTTAGAGTATAGAGTACCAAAATACTGTGGTATGTTACATTGTAAATGAGCAGGAAACCGGCAGGAAATTAAAGATTGGTTATAGCACCACCTATAGACAAATGTTTTTTGTGCATTATCTTTTAAAATTTTGGCATAAAAATAAATGTAGCTTTCCTTCATGCTTAAAGTGCAATATCTCTTTTCAGGCATGCTGAATATACCAGTAAGTCATAAAAAAAAGAGAAACAACAAAATCGTCTCAAACTGCTTTTATTACATCTTAAATAACAGTACATTTTAATATAGTTTCTATCTTGCATCCAGCTTTCTCTTGTACACTGACTTTAAAATTAAATACAAAAGATGGATAAGGGTACAGTGGGAATGCAGAGCTGTAAGTTATTCATATGGAGAGAGGCAGGGAAGAGAGGGAGGAAGAAAAGCAAATTAAGTTCATTTTTTGTTTTGTTTTTCTTGCCAACTCCAGGCCTAACGTACAAGACAGCACTTTGTTTCGTTTTTTTTTTTTTTTGTACAGAATGTTGCAGAGAAATAACAGAATGGAAGAAATGCCACTACAGCTAAGGAAAGAGCGCTTTTCATGATACATGTCAAGAGGGAACAACAGAAATTTCTGCCATTCAAATGCTGCATCATTTTTTTCTTCCTTTTTTTATTAAAGAACAAAAAAACCTGTTTGTTACAAAATGTCTCTAGCACTGTCTTTGTATCTGAAATGTGTCTTTTGCTACAGAGAGATTTCTTTGTTCTAGTTATTTGAGTGTGTGTGTGTGTTTGTACAGGGTCAGTGTGTGTGTGTGTGTGTGTGTGTGTGTGGGATTCACAAACTCTCCAGGGACAGAACAACTCACCATTCGCTGTTGTGATCAACATGTTTGCTTCTCTTAAGTGCATAGCTTTGAAAGTTAAACTAAATTGTGTATGCACAGAGTAGCAAAAGAAGAAAAAAAAGAAAATAAATACTGTGATGTTCTATTTAACAGGTTATTTAAAAAAGAAAAGAAAAGAAAAACATCAAGGATTTAGTTCCATATGCACCTCTTTTAAGCAATTCTACAGCATGCGATTCTACGAGTTTCCCATCCATGGCAGACAACCAAAATAAGATTTTTTTTTTTTTTTTTTAAACTTAAAAAGTTTTCAATATCATTATTTTAAAACATTGATTTATACAACATGTCATTCACAGAGTAGTAACTGTTTTCCAAGCACAAAACGGGCACTTCTGCTGAAACCAAAAAAAATGAAGAACTGCCCACCCCTCCTTCAACATCCTCCACATCAAAGATAAGAAAAATATAAAATAAAATTATTAAAATGATTGGTTTAATCTTCATTGAATTACTCTACATTTTCCAAAAAAGCATGAGAAGTATGGTTAAAATTGACATGGTTTCGTCTTCGTAAATCAAGCATTCGTCATCATGAACAGCACGTGCTTGGTTAGTTAGCGTATCTGCAAAACTGTATTACTTGTGCAAACAAAAATTCACAACTAGACAAAAAAAAAAAAGAACATTAATAATCAAATTTCCTGGGACTAAATATACAGGCTTGATAGCAGCTAGTGGTCCCCTGATCAAATCCTTTACCGTTTACTGATGTAAAGAAGCTCTGTGACATGACGACTTGGAGAACATCACGCTTGTTTTAATTCCTAACTATAAATTTGATCCCGAAACATTTCAAAACTAGGAGACAAAAGCACGCCTGCGATCCTGACTGGGGGAGAGGTCCAAAAAAGGCCCATAAAGCTATCGAGTTAGTTTCTTTTAGAAAAAAATTCCTGTTTTCATGTAGATGTTAGCATAATGACAATAGCAGTGGAATGAGTGTCTCGTGTTCTCTCAATACAGTATCAGAAAATGGTCCCAGAAGGATGCACAATTATCAGCTTTTATCCACTTACCAACTACAATCTAGCTGAGTGTAACAATTGTGCTCTTTTTTTTTTTTCCCCCAAAGAAGAAATGTTTGCTCTTTTGTCGTTTATAGATGTTGGGGTCAGTTCTGTTGTGTTTGAGAAGGAGAGAGGGGAATAAAATCAAAACGTTTTCATTTTGGAATGGTCTTCCAGTCAACTTTAGAGTCCGGATGATGCGATCTGGAAAGAAAAAGAAAGGGGGAAAAGAAACCGTGAAAACGTTTCAGTGACCCAAGAAAGCCTATCCATGATCAGCTGTGAGCCGAAGCATGCGTTTTTAACAGCAGGTGGCAGCAGAGATGCACTGTTTGACGCAGCAGCAGCTCATTACAACTATTTTTGGCAAATCTGACACCACTGCTGGGTGCTTGGCATCAGAAAGCTGCTGAGGATGCACCTTAAATGATGATACGATCAAACAGACAATGTTTCTGATGCATTTGTTATTATTTAGTCACAAATCGCACACTTATGGACTTATCTATGATGTTTTGTAGTATAAATAGTGCGAGTAATAGTGTGTTCACACTTGACATGCCAAAAAGAAAAAGAGCCCTTTAAATACCCGGATGATCCACTTAAATAATCAGAAAAATTAAGTGTGGAATGTTGGACACTTCATGCACTCAACTGTCACAGTGAATAGCCTTTTATATTTAATACACTAGTACACAGTGCATAAGTACATATTGAATAAATGCATCATTTGGGACGCAGCTACAGTCTCAAGCCCTGAATATCAGCTGATGTCAGGAATGGTGTGACAAATCAATGCACTGCTGTCACCTGTTAAATGAGTAGCTGAAAATGAGCAGTTTACCTTACGGCTTTAATTCCAGATCTTAAGGAAACTATCCCAGGAGCCTGTAGCCACAGCCATCCCGTCGTCAGTTACACCCAAGCAGCTGACGCGGTTATCGTGACCCGCCAAAACTCCTGCAAGCATACAACACGCACACGTCACTTCATACTGAACCTCTTACGGTGACACGCATCTCATGTTTTATCCCATCTGTAGACATCGGTTTGAAATAAACTTTCATTCATTCATTTGAAATAAAAGGATGTTCAACGCTATCATGCATACATATAATTTTCAGAAACAAAGCAAACGGGACACGCAGCAGACACACAATAAGGGTGTGTGTGTGTGTGTGTGGTGATGGACTATTTTCTGTGAATGTGGGAGACTTCCTTCATTAGTCGCTAAATGTAAACCACTACAAGAATCAGAAAGTTATCCCAGATCTTTAAAACATTATCTGAAGTTCTCAATTCATATTAAACCTCTGGCTGTTGCAGCTTTATTTGGGACCCTTTCTCTATTGCCTGACATACTCAAATATAAGACTTGTGTTGAAGCTTTTGCAACACTCCTGGTGAGACGTTTAATTTTACTAAATCGGTACATTTTTACTAAATCGCCTACAACACTCATTCTTTATGGATGAACTAGAGAAAATCAGACACACAATGAAATTAACTTCTGGTAATTTCTATAATATTTGGGGTCCTTTCCTAGATTGTTTAGGAAAGTGAAATATTCTTCAATCTCGGAGTATATTACTCCTCCGGCAGTAACCCTTTCCCCTCCCCCAATATATAGATTACTAGTCTACTTCATCTCGAGCATCATTTTCTCACACCTGTGATGTTAATGTGCATATCTGTTTGGATGACCAAGCTTTTTATGGCCTTCTATTTATTTATTTAACTGTTTATTTTAAAATCATTATGTTGGTCTATTATTATTCACTAACCTTTTCTGTGGTTGTTTTTTTTTTGGATTCAGAGTTGCTGTTTATTTGTGTAGAATAAGTACATATACATGTCATCAATCACTCTATAGCTGTAATTGTATGGTGTAACCCACTGAGGTGGAGAAAATCAAAATAAAGTGAAAAAATAATCTGAAAATTATCCTGAGTAAGTAAAATATTTGTGCTAAAACCATAATGCAATACATTAAAATAAGACGACATTAATTACCAGTTTGCAATATCAAGCAGCATAACAAAATGTACTGCTTATATAACTGGAAGTGAACGACACCAGGAGCCTCGTCGCTCTTATGTTAAAGGACTGTAGACATAGATTCATTTGTTTAGGTCTTTGATCACACCAAGGCGCAGGCTTCATCGGTAAGTTTCAGATGCGGGTTTGTGAAATATACCCATGCATCACTATGACCGCAGGAGACCTCCTCTTTCACACTGACCTGCACGGTCGGCTTTAAGAGCATCCCACACGTTGCAGTTGAAATCGTCGTAGCCGGCAAGCAGCAGGCGTCCGCTTTTGGAAAAGGCCACGGAGGTGATCCCACAGATGATGTTGTCGTGAGAATAAACCATCAGCTCCTGATCGGCACGCAGATCAAACAGCCTGCAGGTGGCGTCGTCCGAGCCCGTGGCGAAAGCGTTTCCATTGGGGAAGAACTGAGACGAGACAGCGAGGTTACCAGCTTATACATGCAATGCACACTTAATTTATTAATAAAAAAATTAATTAATCGAATGCGCTAGTCATGCGCATCTTGTCAGTGAAGCATGGTTCTATGATCAGCAGTAAATCTCCATCCGAACACCATATATATATGTATATAATAATGCAATGCTAATCGACATAGCCTTTATCCCTGCTCAGAATACTATGAAATATGTAGCGTGCCATATTCTGTGTAAGAAGCACATCATCTCACAGAAGGATTTATTTCAAACACTCGACTGATGTTTAGTGCTGTCAAACGATTAATCGCATCCAAAATAAAAGTGTTTGTTTACATAACATATGTATGTATACTGTGTATATTTATTATGTTTATATAAATACACATACATTTAAGAAAAATATGTTGTTTATATATTAAATATATTTATACATAACGTCTCGGTTACGTATGTTAACCCTCGTTCCCTGAAGGAGGGAACGGAGACGTCACGTCCAATGCACACTTAATTTATTAATAAAAAAAATAATTAATCGAATGCGCTAGTCATGCGCATCTTGTCAGTGAAGCATGGTTCTATGATCAGCAGTAAATCTCCATCCGAACACCATATATATATATGTATATAATAATGCAATGCTAATCGACATAGCCTTTATCCCTGCTCAGAATACTATGAAATATGTAGCGTGCCTTATTCTGTGTAAGAAGCACATCATCTCACAGAAGGATTTATTTCAAACACTCGACTGATGTTTAGTGCTGTCAAACGATTAATCGCATCCAAAATAAAAGTGTTTGTTTACATAACATATGTATGTATACTGTGTATATTTATTATGTTTATATAAATACACATACATTTAAGAAAAATATGTTATGTTTATATATTAAATATATTTATACATAACGTCTCGGTTACGTATGTTAACCCTCGTTCCCTGAAGGAGGGAACGGAGACGTCACGTCGGTGACCGATGAATTGGGATCTTGCTGAGAGAGACCAATCCACTTCGAGTGTAAACTAAACGAGCCAATGCACATTGGCATGCGATGATTGCATCCAGCTACCGCTGATCACAGCGTGAGCATAAAAAGGCAGCCGGTGCAACGCATATCAGGTTTTCGCTGAGGAGTCGAGCCGGTGACCCGGCCGCTCAGCGGTGGTACAGCTGCCGTGGCGTCTCTGTTCCCTCCTTCAGGGAATGAAGGTTACACATACATAACCGAGACGTTCCCTTTCAGTCTGTCACTCTGAGTGGATGCTGCCCCTTCTAGTGTCCTGTGCGAGCCGCCTGCGCCCCTTTGTGGTGTAGGCTGGGATTCGCAACAAGAAGACCAGTCACTGTAGTCATAGCACTACCCACTCAGAGAGATTGTATAACACTGGGAAAACGTACCCCTTCCACTTGGAACAGGAATGTTGCGGAAGCCCCATCCTTCCCGAAGGAGGTTTCGGAAGCACTTACACATATGACATCCGTTTAAGTGCATATGGAAGATTAGAGGTGATTGTAACCCCTCATGGAAATGGCAGAAGCCTGCCGGGGAAACACGGGCTCTGAGGCTATACCGTGGACTTTACACATATGGGAACCAGCCCTGGCGCCAGACGTTCTGCCATCTCAGTGCCTCTACCCGTTTGAGGTGAGAACACAGGAGAGTACCGGCTCCACACGAAGGCTATAGAATCTAGCGAACGTATTGGGGGTCGCCCAGCCCACAGCTCTACAAATATCTGTCAGCGAGGCGCCACAAGCCAGCGCCCAGGAGGATGCAACACTCCTAGTAGAGTGAGCTCGCAACCTGAGCAGGGCAGGGCACACACTGTGCCTGATAAGCCAGGGTGATGGCATCCACAATCCAGTGGGCCATCCTCTGCTTAGAGACGGCATTCCCTTTCTGCCGGCCTAACAGACAAAGAGCTGGTCTGAGGTTCTAAAGCTTTGTGTCCGGTCTACGTAGCATCTCAAGGCTCGGACGGGACAGAGCAAAGCTAGGGCTGGGTCTGCCTCCCCTGGGGGTAGTGCTTGCAGGCATACCACCTGATCCCTGAAGGGAGTAGTGGGAACCTTGGGCACATAGCCGGGCCAGGGCCTCAGGATAACCTGGGAGTCAGCCAGCCCAAACTCTAGGCATGAATAGTCAACCGAAAGATTTAACTATCTCGCCCCCCCTAAGGAACCTGATGATCAGATCATGCTTCCCTACCGACTTCCCTTCCACGGGGTCATGGTTAGCAGCAATCACAGCGACATAGACTTTAAGGGTGACGGGAGACAGCCTTCGCTCCAACCCTTGCTGCAAAAAGGAAAGCACGACCCCGATCGGGCATCTCCGGGGGTCTTCCCAACGAGAAGAATACCACTCAATGAACAGGTTCCACTTCAAAGAGTAAGCGTGTCTCATATACGGTGCTTTCGCCGAAGTGATGGTGTCAACTACCTCTTGGGGTAGGTCACCAAGAACCTCCGCGTCCCGTCTAGGGACCAGACATGAAGTTTCCATAGGTCTGGACGCGGGTGCCACAGGGTGCCCCATCTCTGAGTCATAGATCCTTCCTCAGAGGAATCTGCCAGGGAGGGGCTGTCGCAAGGAGCATTAGTTCGAGGAGCCAGGTTCGAGTGGGCCAATATGGCGACACAGGCAGGACCTGCTCCACGTCCACACTTACCTTGCACAGCGTCTATGCGAGAAGGCTCACTGGGGGAAACGCATACTTGCGCAGGACCCGCGGCCAGCTGAGTGTTCACTCGGTCAGGGAGTAGAACAACTGGCAGTGAGAGGTTTCTGGACAGGCAAACTGGTCTTAGCTGTTCTATCAGCACTCCTGCCTGGAGGAACGTACGGTCTGACCACGGGGTGAAGTTTGGTGGCAGGCCGGTGTAACTTGGACCCGGTGAGTGCCGCGCAGCCACGCCCACCTCGGGACTCGGCCATGAAGCCAGTGCTGGAGCGGTCTCATATGAAGCAGCCCCAGTGGCGTAACTGCCGCTGATGGAGTCTCCATTCTCCCGGGAGCGTAGCTCGTGACAGCTCTTCGGCCGTACGGTTGAGCAGACCCGGAATGTGAATGGCACGAAGTTACCTCAGAACCTTCTGACTCCAAAGGAGGAGGTGGCGGGCGAGTTGCAACATGCGACGAGAGCGCAGACCACCTTGTCGGTTGATGTACGCAACGTTTGCCGTGTTGTCCATTCGGACCAGCATGTGCTTGCCTCGTAAGCACTCTTTGAGATGGTTCAAGGCAAGGTGCACTGCTAACAACTGTAGGCAATTGATATGCCAGTGCAGTTGGGGGCCCGTCCATCCCCCCGACACTGCGTACCCATTGTACGTGGCCCCCCAGCCGGTGGTGGAGGCATCCATGTAAACCACAGCATGCCTGGAGAGCTGTTCTAAGAGCACTCCTGCCTGGAGGAACGTACGGTCTGACCACGGGGTGAAGTTTGGTGGCAGGCCGGTGTAACTTGGACCCGGTGAGTGCCGCGCAGCCACGCCCACCTCGGGACTCGGCCATGAAGCCAGTGCTGGAGCGGTCTCATATGAAGCAGCCCCAGTGGCGTAACTGCCGCTGCAGCTGCCATATACCCCAGGAGCCTCTGAAATAGTTTCAGTGGGACCGCTGTCCTGCCCTTGAACGAATTCAAGCAGTTCAGCACCGACCACGCATGTTCCTCTGTGAGGCATGCTGTCTGTTCGACCGAATCCAACTCCATACCGAGAAAAGAGATCCTCTGCGTCGGGGAGAGTTTTCTCTTTTCCCAGTTGACCTGAAGGCCCAACCGGCTGAGGTGCGAAAGCACCAAGTCCCTGTGTGCACACAACTGATGCTGAGACTGAGCTAGTATGAGCCAGTCGTTGAGGTAGTTGGGAATGCGAACGCTCTGTTCTCTCAGGGGAACAAGGGCTGCCTCCGCAACTTACGTGAAGACACAGGGCGACAGGGAAAGCCCGGAGGGCAGGACCTCATACTGATATGCTCGTCCTTCGTACGCGAACCGCAGAAATGGTCTGCGGTGCGGAAGGATCGACACATGAAAGTACGCATCCTTTTCCACTCGAGCCCTACCCTCTCGGCGGCCCGGGAAAGCATAGCAGACATCTCTGGATCCGATTCAGGCCTTGCCACCATCCCAGAGGGCAGCAGCGCAGCCGAATCTTCCTCTCCAGAGAGCTCTCCCTCTGATGCAGTGATCGACATCTGGTCGTCGGGGGGAGCACCGAAGGATACCGCTGGTATGCTCTTTGAAGAGGGCCCAGCACGTTCCTTTGGCGGCTCAACTGATTGCAAAGCGCTAGAGGAGCGATGGTCCCCCGAGAGTTGGTTCCCTGAGGGGTTTGCCACCACTGTAACCTTCAGACCGCCCGTGCTACTGCCCGAAATAGTGCATGCCTGGCTGCCGCCAGGACGAACACTAGATCGCGGCAGAGGCAACGGAGCTCCGCCCCCCTGGAGGAAACAGAGCCTGGCCCGTAGCTCTGAGATAGTCATCTTCCCGCAATGGGAACATGACTCATCCACGAACGCCACCTCAGCGTGTTTAATGCCCAGACACGTGAGGCAGCGATTGTGACCATCACCCGGCGCCAGGTAACGACCGCATCCAGAAACGCAAAGGTGAAATGGCATCTTTAAAAAGACGATCCATCATCTTTACAAAGATGCACCCGCATATTGTACTCTTTTAGACAAGAGGTAGTGCAGCCTGAAGAGCGCAACCCACTTGACACCGGAACGACCATCGCTGAAGCGCCGTCCACCAACACAAAAAGCTCCCGAGAGCACGCTAGACTCGTCACACACGAAGCAGTTTGGTAGGAGCAGAACTATGTTATCGCTCGGCTCCGAAGCGAAAAGCTGGTATGCGTTGCACCGGCTGCCTTTTTATGCTCACGCTGTGATCAGCGGCAGCTGGATGCAATTACTGCATGCCAATCGGCATTGGCTCGTTTAGTTTACACTCGAAGTGAATTGGTCTCTCTAAGTGAGATCCCAATTCGTGACTCGGAGTGACCGACTGAAAGGGAACATAAATTATATGCATATAGATATAAACATGTAAATACATGTAAATGTTTTCAAAATATAAACTGAATGTGTATTTTTATATACATAATAAATATACACAGTACACACATATATATTGTGTAAACAAACTTTTATTTTGGATGCAATTAATCGCGATTAATCGTTTGACAGGACTATTGACGTTATGAAGTGAGTTAAACACATGAGTAAAAACATGTTATTAAATGTGGTGTTTTCACAAGCTTTCAGATGGAGCAGCATTTACTACACAGAGCCGTAGTTCACTGACAAGCTACGCAAAAACCAAGTTCATAATCGCAGACGATATAATCCTGCGATTATGAAATCGAAGATATCGTTCGCAATAATGAACGCTCGTGAAAATACCACATTTAATAACACGTTTTTACTCCAAACTCACTTCATAACGTCAGTCGAGTGTTTGAAATAAATCCTTCTGTGAGATGATGTGCTTCTTACACAGAATCAGGCACGCAACATATTTCATAGTATTCTAAGCAGTGATAAAGGCTATGTCGATTAGCATTGCATTATTATATACTTTATTATAATAAACATTATAAAAAATTATGAGAACTCAGATAAACCATATATTGTCTTAGTCGTGTGTTTATTAGTCACGTTGAATCAATGAAAGCAGTTAAATCTTCTGTTTATTCAGCTAGCATTATAGGGATTGGGTTTCTTCTACGGGGTGTATTTCGAGTTTCAAGGTGAAATGGCATCTTTAAAAAGACGATCCATCATCTTTACAAAGATGCACCCGCATATTGTACTCTTTTAGACAAGAGGTAGTGCAGCCTGAAGAGCGCAACCCACTTGACACCGGAACGACCATCGCTGAAGCGCCGTCCACCAACACAAAAAGCTCCCGAGAGCACGCTAGACTCGTCACACACGAAGCAGTTTGGTAGGAGCAGAACTATGTTATCGCTCGGCTCCGAAGCGAAAAGCTGGTATGCGTTGCACCGGCTGCCTTTTTATGCTCACGCTGTGATCAGCGGCAGCTGGATGCAATTACTGCATGCCAATCGGCATTGGCTCGTTTAGTTTACACTCGAAGTGAATTGGTCTCTCTAAGTGAGATCCCAATTCGTCGGTCACCGACGTGACTCGGAGTGACCGACTGAAAGGGAACATAAATTATATGCATATAGATATAAACATGTAAATACATGTAAATGTTTTCAAAATATAAACTGAATGTGTATTTTTATATACATAATAAATATACACAGTACACACATATATATTGTGTAAACAAACTTTTATTTTGGATGCGATTAATCGCGATTAATCGTTTGACAGGACTATTGACGTTATGAAGTGAGTTAAACACATGAGTAAAAACATGTTATTAAATGTGGTGTTTTCACAAGCTTTCAGATGGAGCAGCATTTACTACACAGAGCCGTAGTTCACTGACAAGCTACGCAAAAACCAAGTTCATAATCGCAGACGATATAATCCTGCGATTATGAAATCGAAGATATCGTTCGCAATAATGAACGCTCGTGAAAATACCACATTTAATAACACGTTTTTACTCCAAACTCACTTCATAACGTCAGTCGAGTGTTTGAAATAAATCCTTCTGTGAGATGATGTGCTTCTTACACAGAATCAGGCACGCAACATATTTCATAGTATTCTAAGCAGTGATAAAGGCTATGTCGATTAGCATTGCATTATTATATACTTTATTATAATAAACATTATAAAAAATTATGAGAACTCAGATAAACCATATATTGTCTTAGTCGTGTGTTTATTAGTCACGTTGAATCAATGAAAGCAGTTAAATCTTCTGTTTATTCAGCTAGCATTATAGGGATTGGGTTTCTTCTACGGGGTGTATTTCGAGTTTCTCTGGCCCTCGGATAAAGATTTACTGCTGATCACAGAACCGTGCTACACTGACAAGATGTGCATGACAATCACAGCTTCTGCCTAATCACGATTGCGATTTATCGTGCAGCCCGAGTGTATGTCCCAAGTGCTTACACAGATGGCGTTGATGTCGGACTCGTGGCCGGTGAAAGTTTGCCTGCACATGCCCTCTCTGACGTCCCACAGCTTAGCAGAGGCATCACAGGCGCCCGACACGAACAGACGTGTATCTGGGGCCAGAGACAGTGACATTACATCACCGGTGTGACCTGCGAATGTGGTGGTCTGCTGCCCCGTCTCGATATCCCACAGAGCACTGTAAGACAGACAAACAAAACACACTCAAAGTTACACTGTTCCAGTTATTATTATTGTGAACAAAAATTTTGTGAATTTAGATGGAAAGGAATAATGTAATGTGAACGAGCCACTATGAAAACATGGTATCATAAGCTGAGCACGTGTAAATGAACACAGTGCTGCTCTTCACTCTGAAATACACTTTACATTTGATTATCACACTAAACCATATCACAATCTCAGGTATAGTTAGAATTAACAGAAGTTACTTAGAGTAACACTGTTTCAAACATACACTAACGCTGATTTTAACTTGAATTTGGCACTTGCCAAGTGTACATCCTGCATCTACACAGCCGTTCAAACGTTTGGGACAGTACGATTTATGTTTTTTAAAGAAGTTTCTTATGAAACTATTTGATCAATAATACAGAAAAAAAACAGTGATTTTGTGAAATATTATTTTAATTTGTTGTAATGTTTTATATTTAAATATATTTTAAAACATAATTTATTCCTGTGAAGCAAAGCTGAATTTTCAGCATCATTACTCCAGTCTTCAGTGTCTCATCCTTCAGAAATCTTTCTAATATGCTGATTTATGATCAGTGTTGAAACTGTTGTGCTGCTTAATATTTTTTGGGACGTGTGATACTTTTTTTCAGGATTCTTTGATGAATAAAAAGTTAAAAAGAACATTGTTTATTCAAAATACAAATTTTGTGTTACAATATAACACTCTACTATTCAAAAGTTTGGGGTCAGTGAATTTTTTTTCTTTCTTTTTTTCCCAAGAAATTAATACTTTTATTCAGCAAGTTAAATGGATAAAAAGTGACTTATATTGTTTGAAAAGATTTCTATTTTGAATAAATGCTGTTCTTTTTAACTTTATATTCATCAAATAATCACAGAAAAAAATATCACAGGTTCCAAAAAAATATGAAGCAGCACAACAATCCGTGTATCATTCGATCATACGTCTTTTGATTTAATATTGAAAGTAGAAAAATGAGAAAACGGCTCCTTTTTAGTTTTTTTCCAAAAAACGAAAATTCAGCTTAAATTTTAGTTTTTCGTTCATGGGTGGAAAAAAGAATAAACAGCTTGAATATTCGATTTCTACACGTGGGCGGGAATTAAACGCCCCTTTCTGCTGATTGGTCAGCCGAAGATCAAACCGTGCCTTCATCAGTTCTTCCGCAGTATCACGCAGCAGAATAATAGTCCTCCACTGCTGCAGTTGTATGAATTCTTAAGAATTTATTGCAACTACATTTAATCTTTTTTCATCAAACAAACAGGCTAATGAATAGCTCGACACAACTCATACTGGGGCAGAGTCTAGACAGGGCTTTCTTCTGTGTAGATATACATTCTATTCTTTGCATCAGCTGGGCATGGCAGGGTATGATATGACAGCTGTCATAGCCTACCCTGCTCACCCAATAAGTCTGTTTGTTTAATTAAGAAATTAATTAATTTGTTTAAAAATAAATTTTAAACACTAAGACAAAAAGGAAAGAATAATAAATTGACATGGGTATATACAGTATAGGCCTATGTTCACGCAAGAACTGTCATTCTGACTGACAACTGGAGAACAACAGATATTAAATAGCCTACTGTTAAGAGCTATAAAATGTAGTCTTGTGATTATAATTGATATCTCAAAAGGATATGCACTTGTGTGCAGCGTGAGCTGTTGCGCACTCGCAATGCAACGCAAGATTTTCATAAAATATAATAACTTGCCATTTCGGTTTGTTTCTCACCAAACCCTCAGTATACCTTCAGAATGTTTGGAATATACGCCACGTGATGCATAGGATTACTTTACGACAGATATGAATCTGCTTCAAAAAAAAATAAATAAATAAATAAAGTCACCATTCTCTGCCATTAAATTGGCAAGTGCGAGCAGGACATTTTTGTGTTATTAAGTAATAAGCCTTTAGACCAACATTAATTCTCACCAAACCCTCAGTATACCTTCAGAATGTTTGGAATATACGCCACGTGATGCATAGGATTACTTTACGACAGATATGAATCTGCTTCAAAAAAAAAAAAAAATAAATAAAGTCACCATTCTCTGCCATTAAATTGGCAAGTGCGAGCAGGACATTTTTGTGTTATTAAGTAATAAGTATAGCAAATTATTTCTTGGACCCCCCATCACTTTAAGATCCGCTGGTCTACACAGAAGAAAGCCCTGTCTAGACTCTGCCCCGGTACGAGTTGTTTGTAAAAAAAAAAGAGTTTGGGAAAAAAAAAAAACTAAAAAGGAGCCATTTTCAAATTTTTCTACTTTCAATATTAAATCAAACAAAGGATCGAATGATACACGGATTCACAACAGTTTCCAGCATTGATAATAAATCAGCATAGTAGAGTGATCCCCTATCACTTTAAGAACCGCTGGTCTACACAGAAGAAAGCCCTGTCTAGACTCTGCCCCTGTACGAGTTGTTTGTAAAAAAAAAGAGTTTGGAAAAAGAAAAAAACTAAAAAGGAGCCATTTTCAAATTTTTCTACTTTCAATATTAAATCAAACAAATGATCGAATGATACACGGATTCACAACAGTTTCCAGCATTGATAATAAATCAGCATATTAGAGTGATTCCTGAAGGCTCATGTGACACTGAAGACTGATGCTGAAAATGTAGTGCTGTCACAGAAATAAATTATATTTTGAAGTATATTCAAATAGGAAACCAATATTAGAAATTGCAATAATATTTCACAATATTACTGTTTTTCTGTATTTCTGATCTAATAAATACAGCCTTGATAAGCAGAAGATACTCCATTAAAAAAACATTTCTTAGTGATCCCAAACTTTTGCTTTCAAAACTGAAAATTTTGCTGAAATGATGAAGCGTTTGTCCTCTTCAAATATTCATTTCCATTGTTATTTTGGCCTGTTAACAGATCGGATCCAGTGCTCAAGGAAATGACTAAATGCTACAACATTAAAAACAGCTGTGAGCAGCCAAGAACAGTTGTTAAAGGGGTCATATGATGCGATTTCAAGTCTTCCTTTCTCTTTGGAGTGTTACAAGCTGTTCATGAATAGATAAGATCCCTAAAGTTGCAAAGACTAAAGTCTCAAACCCAAATAGATATTCTTTATCAAATGATCGAATGATACACGGATTCACAACAGTTTCCAGCATTGATAATAAATCAGCATATTAGAGTGATTCCTGAAGGCTCATGTGACACTGAAGACTGATGCTGAAAATGTAGTGCTGTCACAGAAATAAATTATATTTTGAAGTATATTCAAATAGGAAACCAATATTAGAAATTGCAATAATATTTCACAATATTACTGTTTTTCTGTATTTCTGATCTAATAAATACAGCCTTGATAAGCAGAAGATACTCCATTAAAAAAACATTTCTTAGTGATCCCAAACTTTTGCTTTCAAAACTGAAAATTTTGCTGAAATGATGAAGCGTTTGTCCTCTTCAAATATTCATTTCCATTGTTATTTTGGCCTGTTAACAGATCGGATCCAGTGCTCAAGGAAATGACTAAATGCTACAACATTAAAAACAGCTGTGAGCAGCCAAGAACAGTTGTTAAAGGGGTCATATGATGCGATTTCAAGTCTTCCTTTCTCTTTGGAGTGTTACAAGCTGTTCATGAATAGATAAGATCCCTAAAGTTGCAAAGACTAAAGTCTCAAACCCAAATAGATATTCTTTATAAAAGTTAAGACTCGTCCACGCCCCCCTAAAACGGCTCGTTCTAACACGCCCCCACATATCTACGTCACTATGTGGGAAGATTTGCATAACGCCGCCCAAATGTTCACGCAAAGAAAGAAGGCGTAACTTTTATTCTCGCTGTAGTATTGTTGCTGCCGCCATGTTGTGGAGACGTTGTGTGTTTCGTTGTGAAAGCGAAACTACTTTGTTTGGTCTTCCAAAAGAGGACACGACTAGAAATCAGTGGTTAAGTTGTATTTACAACACTGTTCCAGAACAAAAAATGCAACTTTCAAAAGTAGCATTTCCCAGGCCAGACTCATTAATAAAATCAAAATCGTTACTCATGTTTAATAGGATCTGTCACTTATCTGCAGTTCAAAACATGCTACAGGCTCCTGGCCAGCATAAACACTGTAGAAATACTGAAAAAGTTCTGTTAATTTTCTGCTAGGACATTATCCGTTTAATTTACAGAAAATGTATTTAACCCTAAAACACAACACAATGCAACATATAATTCAAAGCATGGGTAAAACAGCTGTGAAAAAAAATCAATACTGAAAATTCTATTATATTAATACAGTACATTGGGCCCTATTTGTACACACTTTTCTTTGCCTGAGGAAGAGAAACAATATTTCTCTTAATGCATAAAGAATTGTCTACCACTGTACTCCAATGCAACTTGACACCTTTGCTTCTACGCAAGCACCATTATTTAATAGTCATTCGGTGATCTAATATAGCAATATGTCTTATCTTTAGGATGGTGTTTTGAAGTCTCTCTGTCAATGCAATTTTGTCACAATGCACTGTTAAAGTGTGCAACTGCATGAATACCACGTTAGTTCCTTTCACACATTAACTAATGGTTTCAGAAACAGACTTATGGCACTAAATACAGAGAAGATGATGAATTTGATGCACAGCGCTCAGGTTGCGGTCAGTTTTTGTTTCTAAAAGTAACATAGAATAAACAAGCGGGCTTAAGCATGCTTAGGTCTCTGTGGGTAAAGGTTTCCGGTAACACTTTAGAATAGGAAACACTTTTTCACTCTTAACTATATATATATACATATTTTTAAATTATTTTCTGTGATTCCTTTTCTCTTTTAATTTGATTTTACATTGTTA